ACTTCGAGAATGTTTTTTTAGAGATTCTGCATTAGGCAGCGCTAGGGCGATGTGGCTTCCATTAGCTTTCACTCGCGCAAGGCTCATGTAACATGCAGAATGGGCAGATTATCTATGACGTGGCCTTAAGGCGATATTTGATTTGTGGATCAAATATTTCACGCCGATGTGGTTCAACATATACAACACCTTTTCCCATCTACCTTTAGTAGACCTCTTACGTAGAACAGAGATCGTCAACCATATGTCGAAGTATCGTGAATTGACAATATTATTGAGGGCATTACTGTAATGGCCTCGGAGAACAATATCAATACTACACCACTGCCCGTACAATGCGGCAAAACCAGCAATCAATGTGGTTCCGACGTTTTAACATCTTCTAACGTCGAAGTACACCTGGAATCTATTTCATTCGGCATCTTGTCATTGTGTGTGGGTGAGTTTGGCAAACTCACCCGACTCAATTACCCACACACAATCAAGAGATGCCAACAGTAGCCGAGAAAACTCGTGTCTTGGCAATATTCCATGACTGAAAAGATTGGAAAGTAGTGGCCGCTCACAAAGGAGTCCCTTTGACGACAGCTCGACCTGTGGTCCACAATAACCGTGCCAGTCGACTCATCCGGGGTGGAGCGCGCCTGTCACTGACCAAGATGAAGAGATCTCCTTACGTCTGGAAAATATATCAACGAAAGCTGCCAATATATTCTAAGCTACATGCAGGAAGACTATATGTAGAACTTGGTATCAACATCTCAACCTCAACGATTAGTCGAACTCTCTGTGGGAAGCTCTACACAGTAACACAAGTCCGCGTCGAACCTCGACGCGCAACAACGACATGAATAAAACCAGGAGAAAAGTGTTCGCTGACACATTTCTCATGCATATGGCGCGTGGTGACTATATCGTGTATTACGATGAAACGAACTACTGTTCAGCAGGCGAACACAAGGTCGCACCAAAGTTGGCCAACGTGCCGTCGCCGTGCTTCCACCGTCAAAGGGAGCGAAACTTCATTTGCAGTGCGCCGTATCGTCAACCGACGGCCTCATCCTACACCACATACAACGGGGAAGTATTCGAATGGAACATAACGCAGAATTTGCAGATGATATCTACCTTGCCGTCAAGTCGCTGCCATCGTTCCATGCCGAATTATGCGACAAGGTCGTAGTCACAACCCACAGCCAAACTGAGACCCGCAAGCCCTGGGCACGATGACTGCGTCTTACTACGCCTTGGCCCGTACTCGCCGATGTGCAATCCTATTGAGGGTTGCTTCAGCGTGTTGAAGGCTAAGATCAAGAACTTTCTTGCCTCAAGACGTCCGGAGATGCTTACAGCTGGTGTACACGCTATGTTGACTGAGGCACAAATGGACCTCTTGGAACGTGCCGCTGTTGAAACATTGCCTTGATCGACCGCAGTCTTGACGACAAAATGTCTTTGCACTGTCTTGTGTCCGTCCACACAGCCAGTCGACTGGAGAATATGCACTATGGAGAATAACCTTTCGATCAAAACATGTATCAACATGTTTTGATCGAACGACGATAGACGACCTACTCAAGGACACGTACACCAGGGAGTCCGGGACAGTCGCATCCACTTGGACGACGTGAACGAGTCGAGCTGCCAACTCGTAGCAAGGCTCAGCGACTCCTCGATGGCCCAAACGTATCGAGTGTTCCACCGCAGCACGCGCTCGAGCTTAATCCAGTCATCGGTATCCTTTGCATGGATGCGCTGGAGCAAGACCGGGTCGCTGGATGGCCGCACCTGCTTGGGTGCCCGAAGCCAAGACCACATCGTCTGCGTTTGGCACTTCCGCTCGTAGTCGACGACTGTCAGGACGAGGGATCGTCCTGACGAACTTCCTGGGACGTCTCTATGTATTCTTGGTAAAACAAGCCACGACGTTAGACTTCGGATTCAGTAAAGAGAATGTCGTCGCGTTGGACAAGCGCACGAAGTTAGTCAACTGTGTCGACGGGTGTTTTCAGCATCTGAGACATCAGCTACAAGACGAACGAAATGGGTGTTGTGGTTTCGAAGGGAGGTTGGGTGCTTCGAGGCCCCAACCAGCCTTCAAAACCTCAACACCCATTTCGTGCGGCGAACGCCTTCTCCACACCGTGGATAGGTCAAGCTCAGACGAAGGGCTTCCTCCGAAGAATCAACGCCACGACTTGGCGTATGGAACCGCCTGGAAACTGTCACAGCCAGGTCGATTGCCCCGTTGCCGACGTCGGTGCTTGGTCCTATATGGAGTTCCGCTAGGCACTAGTGCTCGTGGTCTACAATCGAAATGAGATCCCGCAGCCATAGTATGGGCTCGTTATGCAGCCCTAGTGATCTCGTTGTCAGCCGTTCGAATCCACATTATGTGTGGTAGTACACACACATTACGTGAACCGCCCATGTCCGTGGGCCTGCCGTCCCCGTTGCAACACGATCTCGTACCTGAACGTCTTGAGATGCCAAGACACGGCACCACATTGATTGCAGTTTAAACCACTTTGAATGAAATTGATTCCAGATGTACTTCGACGTTAGAAAATATTAAAACGTCGGAACCACATTGATTGCTGGTTTGGCTACATTGAACGGGCGGTGGTGTAGTATTAATTTCCCCACTCTCGCCGCAAAGTTGTCCACGAACGTATAAACAGGCTATAAGGATCTATAGGTATTAAAAGCAAAAAAATCGTTCACAGCCAATTATTCACGAATATAAACTTCCAAATTCGACAATCTGCCACTAATACGGTAAGGTCGTCGTCGTACATGATGCCAGTTCGAGCCCAACAGTTCATCACAGTGGCTGCGTCATTGATCGTCACGCTTCATTGGCCCACCCCATTGCAACATCAAGAGGTACTTCATACAACCGGTCTTGTCGACCGGCAACGCCCTCGTTCATCTGATCTAATGCATTTGAATCTGGAGCTGCTTGGTCTCGATTGCCCAGAGGCGTCGCACAGGTGTTGGCGGACAAGTACGGCAGTTACCACTCTACCACAGGCCAAGCAGCAGGGACTTGTCGACGGCAATATGAAGGTGTCGGTTGCCAGCAGAAAGAAGGGCAAGGTGGATAGAAAGTTGGACTACACTGCTGAAAAAATAGAGTCTAAGCTACTGCAAGTGTACTTCCTCTGTCCCATATTACTCGTCGATTTGAAAAACACACTTGTTCCATATTACTGAAACACAAACTCATTTGACTGGCTTACAAAAATTCTCAGTACTTTCATTGGTTATTAATGCCCTCGCCTACAAGAGAAGCGAGACAGGGCATTGTCTTTAACCTCTTGCGAAACTTTCGCCAGATGTCGGAAACCACGCGCGCACTGACGTCAAGTTCTTTAGCGGATTTGGCGAAAGCGCCGTGGATCAGCCATCCAGCTTTGAGGAACTGGTGTAGGTGTCGGACCACCTCGTGTCGCTTGGCGCAGGAAACCTCGAGTAAGGATTGGGGCACTGCGGCAAATTCAAATGTGTGTTGATCTTTATATGTGGTGTGTTTTTATTCGGGTGGTGAAAATGAGAAGTTGATTTTGGGCGCTCTTGACAGCCAATGAATGGTTCCTTTGGATTTTTATGCTCTTCATTGAATGATACCTTTCGTCAAGTTTGGTAATGAAATGGATTTGTGGGGTCGTTGAAAAGTCAAATCGACGAGAAATATGGGACAGAGGAAGTAGATATTATGTGAAGTTGGTAGTCTCATTCCATAAGAGGGTTCTTGAGGTAACCCCCCCGAAATCGAATGGCATAGTCGCAAATGTCACATCTACCCGTTTGGTTGGTTATGAGACTCTCTTTTTCTTTGATTTCATTGGTTGTTTCACCTTTGAAAATGATATGTAAAATAATTGTATACAGTGAACATATTTTTTTTATCAAAGAGCTGTACACCAATATTATATCTACGCAAGTATCATGGGACAGAGGGAGTATTCTCTCCAATGGAACCATGTTTAAGATCGGCAAGAATACTCGACCTGCCTCCGATTGGTCAGAGCCATCAACACACCCTCAGCGTGTGATCGGCCTTCTGATTGGTCAGAGCAATCAGCGTCCTCAGTTGATTCTAAAGGTTAGGGTTTCTTCTACATCAAAGCAAGGTGGGTTCTCCAGAACCGCCGACGCCCAGCGATCCCCCGCAGGGTTCAGCCTATGTTAGGTCGGGACGTGGCTTTCACTCCCACCACAATACAGCCCAAGCCAACGCGTATCGAAGCATAGCCTCCTTGACGTCATCTCACCACGAGGACTCCAGCCAACAAATACTGTACCGGCGCGCGAAGAGTCTGTCGAGGAGTGCCCTTCAAGGCCTCCGCCAAGTGAATCGCATTCGAATGGGCGTGACCATGACGACTCCGCTCTTGTCTGCGTGCTCCGCCTTGCAAACGAGACACCCAGCATTCCAGATCCCGCCACTCCGCTATCTATGGAGTATCTGCTCCCTGAGCATGTGCTAATGCGCAAATCCTTTCAAAAGGTTGTCGTGACATGGTCATGCACCACGTGCACTCGGGAATGCATTCCAGTCCGGGACGCGAGTCGTTGTCTATGGTGCCGCCTCGTTCTGGCTGCGTTTGGGTACTCACATTGTGCGTAGTGGCAACCGCCTCAAGGATCACCCGAGTTTGAGCACCGATACACGCGTAAAGGACAAGGCTACATTCAACGCGTTCGCGTGCACGTCAGCAAAGTGTCCGTGCCGGTCGCTCTTCTACATTGTTGCCGAAGGCGCGTGGGTGCTCCGGTGCCGATGCAAACACAAACACATCGACCACGACGCGACTGTTCGTCCTTCACGGCTTCCGACCGCAAAGTTACCTTCTCGTAAGGCAAATCCAAGACTGTATTGCTTCAGAGGGCTGAGGAGCCACGAACTTCGTGGCTACTGACTACAGTCTATAGTAATACTACACAACTAGGTCATCCACCACAAGATTGTTACCGTGGTTTTGCAGTGGGTCAAACGATTAGGCATCGTTTGACCCGGGGGATGTCTTCAAGCAAGTTGTCGACTGGCTCCCAGGACGATTCCTTGGCATCCAAGCCGAGCCACTTGACTAGAACTTCGTAGCGGCCGTTCTGCCGCAACACGCACTTCTTCCAGGCGCTCAACGTGGAAACCGCCATCGCCGAAGGTGATCTGATCCACAAGGTTATCTGTGACCTCACGTCCGCCTTCGTGGTACATCTTCAATCGACACGCATGGTGCGTGGACAAATCGAGGTCGCAACCAGTTGTTGCGTCTCCATCACGTGATCCGTGACTACGCGAGCGTCCTGTTGTGGCCCCCGCCACTGCAGCGCAAGCTTCGTAGGCCGTTGAATGACGGTGCCGACTAGGACAAAATCACCCATACTAAACTTGGCAAATTTGACCCGCGTATTCTTGTCGCACCATCCTCTCGCTTGTTGTCGCAGCTTGTCGCTGCGGGCAAACACTTCACGGAGCAGCTGATCTAAGGCATATCTTGAGCTGCGCCATGTGCTTGACACGGGCATCGTCCAGCATGTCCGTGCAGATGACTTCCTTGGTGGCCGGGTGTACTAACCCGGCCAGTGGCGTCTTCGCTGAGCCCCGTAAAAGACGTGACGGTGGCAACTCCACCGAGCCTGTCCGAGGGCTGGTGGTTCAACGCGCCCTGCACCAAAGGCAGG